GAGTCATTAGCTGTAGTGTGGTTTCAGCCTCGTTCCTCTAAAAATGACTCACCAGAATAAAAAAAAGCTCAGAAAAGACCTCTGTCATAACTGTTGTCCTGGCTCCAAGGCGGCTCACGCAGAGCCATCACGCGAGGAAGTGGCCAAGCAGCAGGCTCGGGACCCTCCTGCCCTGAATCCCACTAGTGGCATCAGGCAGGAGAGCAACACTGCAACGCCGCAGCAGCCGCCAGCTTCCTCAGCATAAATTGTTGAAGCAGGCATTAATTACCTCCTCGCTTGCCATTTTTTCCAGAGGGCCCCTGCTTGGTCCCGTGCACGGTGCTCGCCGAGCAAAGTCGCCCTTGTTCATATGGATGGCGCGGCGTGCAGGCTGGGCACGCCGCGGCTCCAGCATTAGCAATTTCCACTTGGGTTCTGCCATGGCACCAGTTGTTGTGGCAACACAACGCCTCATAACATTAATAGGTTTATTTTCAAAACACCCCGGTGAAATTTCCAAAGAGCGTGTCTGCAAACGCCGAGAGAAAATCTACCGAACATGTGCACACTCAACTTTTCGCAGGCTTATGATACGGCCAGATTTTGCTGGATTTTTATAGCAATGAAAAAGGGCACAATCATAGTCCCCAACTCGAACAAAACGCTGTCTAGTACTTTGCTGTTGTGCTATTAAAGTCTGCAGACAGGGTGAAAAAATTTCTTTGGAGACGTATAGTTAACAGACACATTCGGGAACCTAAAGATGTGAATTTTTGTCTAATGCTCTTACTTGTAACACCGCTTATCATGTTAACAGCGCAATTCAGCGAGCGTTGCATGGATCCAAATTGCTTCACATGTCTTCAGAGGTGGGAAAAGACCCAACTGCCAATAGCTCCTGCCGGTCCGCAACAACATCTGCACTTGTGAATTGTCGATACGAAATTCTGTGGCACGTTGAGAACTGAACATATGGGGACAGTATAAAATACAGTGGATTAAAATCTCAAAATAAATAATACTGGGGCCAGTATGGCAGTTGTGTTATTCTTTTGCCTATTTAATTTAAAAGCAAAAAACCCAAAGCCTATTATTACGCGTAGCTTCTGCATTAATTTTCAGTCTGCCAACCCAGTGTACTCCAGAAAGACAGGGTCTTGCTCCAGAAACTAGCTGCACTTGTGTTACTATGTGTGAAGTCGTACATGTCACCGTGAATTTACATTTTGTGTTCTCTGAATATTTCACTGTTGTGAGGTGAATAATTATATTTACCTCTATTTTCCCCCAAAGTACGGCATTTTTATATTACTTTAATGCAACCAATGTTTCAGTTATTGCTAATATTAAAAATGGATTTAATTATGACTTGATTCATCCAGAACTAAAACATGGCTGATATCTGAACAGGCCAGGCACAAATCAGGTGCAATTTACATCCCTAATTATTATATTAACAATTTCTTGCTTCTGAAACACTGAAATGACATGCCCAGTATAATCATGATGAAGAGCAGCAGCAGGCCAGGAAATGCGGCAATCTTAAATAAGGTACACACTGCACTGAGATATGTAAGCACAGCAGACAGGAATTACACCAGTGAAGCATTCAGAAATTACAAAATGGGTCCTGGACAACCCTGCCTGCCACGCTGGCATGTAATCTGTGGGGTTTCCCTACTGCTCCGGGGGCAAATTGTCCCGTGGGAGGGTTTATGAAACCTTATGAAAGGCCAGCATCACGGCAAGCAGTGACCAGCACCGAGGGGACCTCAGCGTTAGCAGCACTCGTTGTCCTGCTCCTTCCTGGCCAGGGGGAATGAACCTTGTCCAGGTTGGCAGAAATGCTTTAAGTCTCTACTGGTGCTTCAGTTCATCAGTGGTATCTGGAGATCCCAGGTTAACTAATAAAATAAACGTGTCTCTCCTCTGTGGGCTCACACCATTTTTTTCATCTGGTTTTCTGTGTATAGATTTACTTGGGGAAAAAAAGAAATCTGCGTTTTAAACAATAAGCATTTTGGCACTGGGACTGTCTTTTCTTTGTACCATGTATACTGCTACGGCTATTGTTGGTGCCACAGGAACAACTCACAGATAAAAGAGCTCTCATAATACAGGGAAATGACTGTGCTTTCAGCCCTACCAGGCTGCCAGGCCCTGTGACACCCACCTCTGGGATATGGGAAATGAGGACCCCCCCGCCCTAACCTTCCCCCTCCTGCATCTGCGTCACCTCCAGGCAGAGCCGCTCCGTCCCTGCTCGTTTCCCCACCTTTCACCCCCTGAAACCCTACTCCCGTCCCCTTGCAGGGGCTGCCGGGTGCCAGACGCTCTGTTGGGCACAGCAGACGGGTGGGCACAAGTCCCCCATCCTCATGGGATTTTTTGGGTGCCCTCAGGCATCCCTTGGTGCCAAACTTCATCACAGCAGTGATGGTGAGATCAGCCCAAGGCAGGAGCACGGATGCAGTGCCCACCAGGTCCCCGCCAGCAGTTGTGTTCAGGGGCAGTCTCGGTGTGAGTTGCACTTAACGCAGTATTCTGGTCACTTAGGCAGTCGTTGAAGACAAATTGAAGCTGATATGCTAAAAGCACTAAGTCATAATGGCTGCGTACACTGCCCTTAAATGTTCCCATCAGTGCCCCGAGGCCAAAATCCTGACTGCCCACATTATCTCTGCCACGGCCTTCTTTTCTTCTTTTGTCATCCCCTTGTGCCCCTGCTCCTGGATGGCTCACACCTGCAGAGCCCATCATGGCTCTGTGAGTACCGTCCCATGCAGCGTCACCCACTTTACATATTCTGGCACCACACCACCGCTAGGCCCTACAAACAGGTTCCTCCTCCAAACATCATGGCTGGGCCCAAAAACAGAGCCCTCATGGCAGCGGGTGCCACCTCGTCCTGGGAGGAGGCCTGTGTCCCTCTTCCCTCCGGGCAGGACACACGACAGCTTTGTGAAGCTGCTCTGAAACCGGCTCTCGGTAGCCCACAGCACCAGCAATGTCATGGCAACACGTGCTCGAGCAGTACAGAGAAGGGCATCCTTGACCTGCATGCAGCATGTGATGGAGTTGTCGGAGGCACTGAACGTGAAGCTCTGCTCAGCACCCCCTAGGAACGGAAGGGAAGGCATTGGAGGCGTTATTTGGGACTTCAGCTTGACTTCCATGGGGCCAGCAGCTCAGCTGGAAGCACGAGGAGCAGGTGAGCGCTCTCTGAAGCATTACATCCCATAGGAAATGGGGCTGTGGTGGCATGGGGGCTCCAGAGAGTCTACTAGAGCAGGGTATGGGCTGCTCTGGTTCGAGAACACGGACACCTTCCAGCTGAGAGGGGGCACACCCCGTGCCTGGGCATGGTCTCCTCACACCCAGGCTGAGCCCAGGGAGCACCTCCAGGCTGGCAGGGACATCCCCAGCCCCATGAGGCCATTTGAGCACCCCAGTTCCTCACTTGCTTCAAGGCCAGGCCGAACACAGCCTGGTTGACATTGCACTGGGAAAGCCCCTGCACTGACACCCTGCTTGTGGGGCACGGCTGAGGGCAACCAGCAGCAAGTGGTGAAGTTTTTGTAGTTGTCAGTGACCGGGTATTTTTGTACCATATATGTCTGCCCTCAGGGCAGGCCCTTATCTCCCACATGCTTTCTGCTCTTCCCTCGCCTGTTCGCTGTGGGGTGCCGGTGACCACGTCTGTGTGTAGGAACAACCCCTGAGCGTGCTGGGGCGCGTGCATGACGGACATTTTGGGGGGAAGCTACAGACCCATGAAAACAATGCCTGGGAGCTCAGGGCATGCAGTGGGGTGCACCGGACAGGCCTGGTCACACCGCAATGCCAGAGCTGTCCCGGGAGGAGGAGGACATCACCCCTAAAGACATGGGCACCATTTGCATCTAGGTACGTGGTTAGTGCAGGCCTGGGAGGAGGACAAGTCTGTGGTGACACAAAGTTGTTTCTTGTTATTATGATGGTGATGGGCAGCGGTCTGGTATGTATCGTGTATGTTTCACCTCCTGGGACCGGGCCAGCTTCCCCAGCCCCATACCCTGCCTTTTAAAAAGGTTTGGATGGTGCCATCCTTTCTCTTCCACTGCTGCTGGCGGGTTCAGCCTTCCATCCACAGACCCAGCAGAGAAATGTGGGTACAGGGAGGACTCCGCTCATCACTGAGGGTCTCTCAGTCACCCCAGTGAGCTGCGGAGACAGGACTGGGGTCCACAGCCCAACCTCCCAGAAGAGCACCCCACTTCTCATTACGACTTCCTTATGACCACCTCCCTCCTCCTGTCCACCCGTTCCCTTGCACTCCCACCCCAGAACCTATTGGGCGCACCATGCTCTCACAACAAAACCCCACAATCCTTTTTGGGTCCCCAACCCCCGACCCCCGCCACCCCAGAGCCGCACGCAGCCGCTCGCATGGGCTGCATGGGGCTGCGTGGGGCTGCGTGAGAGCGGCGTTGGGGCCGCGTGGGGCCGCGTGGGGCTGCGTGGGGCTGCGGGGCCCCTCCATCTTGTGCGCGGCACCCCGCGCCTGCCCGCTCGCCTCGCCTCCCTCCCTTCCTTCCCTCGTCATTGTCTGCGAGCGGCGGCGCGGCGCTTATAAGGCGCGGGGCATTGCCCGGATGTGAGCGGCTCGCGATGGGGCTCCCAGGGAAACATGCCATTAGCCGCGGCTCCACGGGGGAGGCCGTGCTGGGGCTGGTGGTGGTGGTGCTGAGGAGGAGAGCGCTGTAAACTTGGAACAACAACAACAACTTGGGGGAACCGGCTGCTCCGCTCCCGTGTGTGCGTGTGTGTGTGGTGGTTCTTTTATTTTTTATTTTTTTTTTTATTAATTTTTTTTTTTTTTTTAAAGGAAGGACGGAAGGGGGGAAAGTCCCAGAGCCGCCACGGTGCGAGCAGTTTGTCAGTCACCATGTGTCTGTAAAAACAATAGGGGCAAAAGTTGCTGGACTTTTTTTTTTTTTTTTTTTTGCTTTTTTTTTTTAATTTTTTTGAAATTTTGTATTTTTTTTTTTTTTTCCGGCCGGCTGGTGTTTCGGCTGGCCGGGTGGGGGAGCGTTTGGCGGTCGGTAACCCAAAAACCCAACAAAGCCAGGTGTAGGGTGCCTGTAAAGCTGTGGAGTACCCGGAGCAGCACTGACCCCCCCCAGTACTTCTTCGTGGTTTCGGAGGGTCACACACGTGTGAGATAATAAAGCACTTTGGCAGAAGATTTCCTCTTTTTTTTTTTTTTAATTTTTTACAACATTTTTCCTTTTTTTATTTTTTCCTCCCTTGGAATATTGTGAACATATTTGTGGCCATTTAAGGTAAAGTTACAATTTGCTGTTAGAGTTAACTCGTGTCGTTTTTTTTCTCCTTTTTTTTTTTTTTTTTTTTTTTTGTAAATAACTATAAAATTGTCGATCCCGCCGTGTTCTTGTACAAAGAGCTGCAAACTTCTTCCGTGGGGTGGAAGTGCAAAGGGAGAGAGCGGACACCGCGTGTGTGGACGTGTAACCGTGTGGCTAAACCGCTGTGCTCTGGCCACGGCGTGCGAGATGTACACCGAGGTGCAAACGCTGAGCTCCACGGCTCGCTGCTTGCTCTTTCCTACTGGAAAAAAAAGAAAAAAAGAAAAAAAAAATATATATAATGAAGTCGGACTCGTTTCGGTGGAGTGCGGCCGGGCCTGCGCTAGCGAGATGTAAAATAAAAAAGTGCTGCAAAGGAGGGGAGGGGAGGGGGGGGCTGGCAGCGTCCCCAGAAACTTGAGCGTAAAGCGAAGGCGACGGAGGGGTTTTGCAAAAGTTTCGCAGCGATGCTCCCCGTAAATCGAGGCGACGGCGCTCGGGCAGCTCTGTAGCTGGAGGCAGCGGAGGGGGGGGCACAACCAAAACCCAAACAAAGCGGGAGAGCGAGATCTCTGTGTGTGTGTGTGTGTATATCTATATCTATAAAAGAAACCGGACTGGATAATACGAGGGGAAAAATATTGTTCCTCTTGGCAAAGTCCCCGCATCACGTGTACGTGCAGCCTCGTATAAACTTGCTTTGCCATGTGGATGTGTGCGAGCTCGGGGAAATTTAAAGTCTAATCCGTGCAAAAGTGCGGCGCGGGCGGCAGTCGGCGGCTCGCCGGGATCTGCAGCTCCATGATCTGCGGGTATGGAGGCGGCGCTCGGCTCCGGGGCCTTTTGGGGCCGCTCGGGGCCGCTTGGGGCCGATTGGGGCCGCTCGGGGCCGTTCCCAGCCGGGCGCGGGGGGCGCGGGGCCGGGCGCGGGGCTCGGAGGGGCCGCGGGGCGGGAGGCGGCCGCTGCGCCGGGCTCCGCGCCCCTTCCCTTCCCTTCGCTTCCCTTCCTTCCCTTCCTTCCCTGCCTCCCTTCCCTCCTTCCCTGCCTCCTCTCCCTTCCCTCCCTTCCCTTCCTGCCTCGCCTGCCCTCCCCGCTCGTCCCTTCCCTTCCCTTTTCCCTCCGCCGCCCTCCCCTCCCCCCCGGCCGCTCGGAGGGAACTGATGACTTCGCCCAGGCCCGAGCCGCCGCTCCTCGGTCGTTGTTATTAACCACCCGTCTCGGCACTAATTAGAAATTGGGGCTAATTGGCAAGGGCTCTCCGCTCGCCGCTTCCCTCCCGGCCCCGCCACCCCCGCCCCGCGTCCCTCCGGCACCGGCGCCTCCGTAGCCTGCGACTTCGCTTCTATTTTTTTTTTTTTTCTTCTTCTTAATCATTGTTATTTTTTTTTCTCCTCGCCGTTTTCTCGTTATTTTTTTTTAATTATTTATTTTTCTGCCCGTTCCTCGCCTCTCGGCGCCCCGCTTGGCGCGGAAGAAGGAGAAGGGGAAAAAAGTTGGGAGCGGATGGCTGTAGTTTGCTTCTCTGGGATCCTCATTCATTCCTCGCTGAACCTCCTGTTGCATAAATGATGCTCCGGGAGCGAGCCTTTCGCTTTTTTTACCTCCTCCGCCTTTGGGTTTAGAGTGGATGTTACCGGCTTTCCATCGCCTCTTTGGAAATACAAGATCGCCTTTTTTTTTTTTTTTTTCTTGTTGTTGTTGTTGTTTTTTGCTGCCCCTCCATCTTTTTTTTTTTTTTTTTTTTTTAATTTCCCTCCCTTCTTCTCAACCCCCCCCCCCCCCTCGACCCCTCACCCCCCTCCCCCGACCAAACCCGATTGTGTTTCCTGCAAGGCTCGGGACTGGGTTTCTGATTGCGGTTATTTCCATGTTTCTAGGTTTGTGTGATTTTGCTAAAATGCATCACCAACAGCGAATGGCTGCCTTAGGGACGGACAAAGAACTGAGTGATTTACTGGATTTCAGTGCGGTAAGAAACAACGGTGGAAATTAACAACAGCTGTAAAAAAAAAAAAAAAAAATATCTTCTAGCTGATCTGTTAAACTGGAGAAAAAAAAAAAAAAAAAAAGCAAAAACCAAACCCAACTGCGATCTGAGTCCATTGGGTAATTTTTAATCAGCAGCTAGAACCGTGCTAAATATAATTTTTTTTTGGCTTAAAAATGCAAAAAAAAAAAAAAAAAAGAAAACCAAAAATTAGCCTTTTTTTTTTTCTTATTTCTTATTGTGTGTGATGGGAGCTGCAGTCGCGTGCACGGCTTATTTTGTAATGTCTTGGATGCCTAAAATGATATATAGATATATTTATTTTTTTGGCCAAAAGAGACGCCCCTAAAAGCGACCGTTTCTCAGCAGCAGCCGGTGCCACCGCCGAGCGCTCTCGCCGTGCTTCGCGTTGGACGGCGTGCTTGGCACATGAGCTGCTCCATGCCTCATGAGTGCCTGCCATTCTCCTGGCCGTTCTTCCCTTGGTGCGAGTTGTTTTGTTTTTTTTTTTGGCCCGCGGAAAAGTGCAAAGAAATCCATGAGCGGCTCAGTTGAAAGTTTGCCCCCAAACCTGCCCTGCTGCCTGTAGCTGCCCCCGAGCCCCCCGGAGCCCCCCAGCTTGGCTCTCCCCGGGCCCCGTGCACTTGTCTGGCTCCTGGAGGCTCGGCTCCCCTCCCCCTGGCCCCTTCCTTCCTCTCCCCTTCCCCTCCCTTCCCCCCGATATGTCAGGAGTAGCTCTCTCCATTTATTTATTTATTTGAGGGGGGATCCGGCTCGCTGGGAGATGCGTGTGTGCCTCGAGATGAACCCCCCGCAAAACTCCGCAGCAGCACCCTGCTAAATGAGGCTGCTCCAGGCTGCTGCTGCTGCTGCTGCTCCAGCCTTTGCTTGGGAGGAATGGCTTTGGGAAGTTTGGCCAGGAAACGTAGCCTGAGGCAGCTTCGCAGCCCCCTCTTTGCTTGGTGCACTTTTTCCATTTGTTCCTTGGCTTTTTGCAGGCTCTGACTCAGGGAAGGTGCGTATTATCCACTAGACACGTCGAAGAAGAGAGAAACCAATTAGGGTCGAAATAAATGCTAGCGAGAGAGAGGGTGAGAGAGAGAGGGAGAGAGGGGGAGAGGGAGAGAGGCTCGCCTCAAACTGCTCTCGTGGTAGAGACGAAATGAGAATTTAGGGCAGGTGGCACTTTGCATTATTATTATTTGGGTGCACAGATGACAGGCAAACCCTAAAGCGGGCTGGACATGGACGTTGCTACCTTTATGGCCAAGGTTTCGACCAACAAACTTTTTTTTTTCTTTTTTTTTTTTTTCTTTCCTTTTTTTTTTTTTTCTGCCTTTGTCAACGAGTGAGCAGGAGAGGGGAGCGAGCCCCGCTCCCGGGCTGCGGCCAGCCCCGCGGGGGGAACGGGGGGCTCCCAACCAAATGCTCGGGGAGCAGATCTTATCCGGGGAGCTAATGAGCCCGAGCGAAACGTGCTGCTGGTGGTGGTGGTGGTGAGGGGCCGGGGGGGGGGCTGCAAGAAATACCGAGTTGGCTCTCGGGGCTGTGGGGGACGATGCCTCGCATCAGGCAAAGTGCGAGCAGAGTTCGCAGCGAGCGCGGAAGGAACTTTTTTTTGGCGAGCGGTGGACCAGGAGTCGCTTCTTCCCCACTAGTAATGTCTCTTTGTTTTTCTTGCTGTTTTTTTTCGTAGATGTTTTCACCTCCTGTGAGCAGTGGCAAAAATGGACCAACTTCCTTGGCAAGTGGACATTTTACTGGCTCAAGTATGTAACGTTTTTGTTCAGTGCGGAGTTGAAATGCTCTTAGATATTTATCCATAGGCATTACCTTTGTTGTGGTCGTGGTAATCTCTTCTGGGGAGCAGATTCATTCAGATTTGAGCGGAATTATTCCTAAGTGCTGGCTATTGTTATTATTGCTGTGATTATTGTTGTTATTGCTATTTCCACAAGGCTGGGGCGTTTTCACAATATTTCCTTGCATTTATGATTTTTTGGGTTATTTTTAAGAACTTTCCCTCTGTGTAATTCTTCAAGGTGGGCTAGTTTAAATATTTTTCCTTTTTTATTTTTATTATTATTATTTTTTAATTTAGCACTGGAGATTTTGATCCGCAATTTCGGACGCTGTCTTTTCTCTGTGAGAAACGATGATCGCAACACCTCGAGTGAGAATTAATTTTGCGAATAAGAATGAAGGCTGCCTAAATTAAATAAATAAACGAGCGAGTATCCGAGTATAAACACCAAGCCCTTCCAGGAAAAGCACTCTTTGGTGTCAGAGATCGGAGCTCGCTGACCAAATATTTTTTCCTTGAATTAAAATCTCCAGGCTGGTTTCTGGTCCTGACTGAAAGAAAGCAAGGCAAATATTCCAAATATTTGACTGCTTTTGAAGAGTCCCTGAAATTTCCCGGGCGGATTTGTTTGTTTGTGTGTGCGTGCGTGTTTGTTTATTTGGCTGCAGTGGGACTGCATGGGCAACTTCTGCATTCCATAAAAGCAGGAGTCCTGTTTGATGACAAAAAGCAACCCCCGAGTTCTTTGCGGTACAACATGTGTGTGCAATAATTGTCTGGCAACTGACGTTTTATATCGAGGCTTTTATATGCCTGACAAATTAGGAGCGAAACTAGCGAGGACACTGCCGCGTTTTGGAAATTTCCTTGCTCTTCTCTGAAGTTTGTTTAAGAGGGTTCCCTGCTTTGGGGATGCGGGGTTTTGGACAGGACACAAATCCAGCTCCGGCTGGGGAGTTGCAGTGTTTTCAAAGCCCAGGCAATTGCACATACCAGCACACCGTACGTAGTATTGTTAGACTCAGGGAACTGGTCTAAATCAGATGGGAAATTTGGACAAGTCTTCACTGCAAACTGCCAGTGGATATCTAGATACAAACACGTCACTGCGTATAGTTTCGTGCCTGGTATTTGCAGTTTGTGCTCAATTAAAGGAACCTCTTCTGTGCACTCAGTGTAGGCATTTTTATTAAAGGCACTGCTATATTAATTAACTTAAAGACAGACTTCCAAATTTGAAGGCAGCCTGTTACAGTTTTAGGACACTGTATCAAGTGCCACCTGCAATTATTGGGCGCTTATTTTAGGCATTTTGTTCTGTCCAGACCCGTGAAATAACGTGCTTTATTTTCGTCAATTTGGTTATATTCTGAACATAGTGACTCGGAGAATTTTACTGTCAGGTTCGAATAACTTTCCAAATGTGCTTTGCCTCGTGTCTCGCAAGCTGAAGATGTGAATCTCATTTTGTGTCCTTTTCGGAATTGTATAATTTAGGTATGCGGTTTAGGCAAATTTATAATGCTCGCTGTATTTGTTTTCGCTGGAGACAAGTGAAAAGTATTTGTGCCAGGCAAATCAATTTGCCATGCTTCTATCCCAGGCAATGCAGCAACCAACACTTGGTCTAAGAGCAATTAACTAGATAGCTGTATTTAATCAATGCAGCGCAGACCTCACCTATGAAGTCATTTTGCTCCGAAATAGCAAAGCCAAGCCAGGCAGTGGGTGAAATGGAGGGGCTGTGGTTGGGTTTTTTTATCGTCTCTGAAGCCGAGAGCATTCGAGTAACTTTGACACATCGTTTTAGACGGCCTGAGAATTTAATGAGCTGGGGTCAGCCGGTGATAGGGAGGTGGGGAGCATCCTAAATCCCACCTGAAGGCTCCCACCGGGTGACAACTTGTGCTCAAACACACCGGTGTCTTGTTTGGCGTTGGGGATGGATTTTTGTGGCGAGCGGTCAGTGCTTCCCCAAAAGTTGTCAAAAGCCACGGAGTGGTGAATTGGCCCGACCTGATCCTCGCAGAGAGGGTGGGTGCGTGGCCTGGAGGCAGAGGGGCGTGGGGGAGAAGTGGGGCCACTGCTGCTGGCCAGCTGCGGGCGGTGGTCTCGCTTCCTAGAGATCTTGGCTGTGTGTTCCTCTTAACGAGCCTGGGCTGGAGAAATTCGGGGTTTATATGACAGTGCCCAGACAGCTGCTTCAAGAGATGCTCCATGCAGCTATCTGGAAGGTTTAAAGGTACCCTCGTTGCTGATATATGGATGGAGGTGATTATTCGAGCTGGAAACCTGGAATTTTAGCAATCAGCATGCAGCACGTTCATCCTCCTGGACAGATGCCCTTCTCCAGTTTGAGCTCGCCATCCCTTAGTGGTCTTTTCAAAATCCTATTTGCTGTGACAGGGAAGCACAGATGTCATTCCTCTGCATTCACCTGAAACTTCACTTAAAAAAAAAAAACACAAAAACAAGACCCCAACAAAAAGTGATCCCAAGCAGTGAAGTGAAACTAACTGGACTTTACGAAGTGTGGTAATATTTCATGCTTAAAGTCATCCTAATAGCTTTTTACTCATCTAATATATGATGCTCCATTGTGATTTGTAACGTGTGAATGAAAATAAAGTAAAGCCACATTTCCTTTTAATCTTTAATTTCACAAACATGGCTCCTTACCACGTTAAGAAATGGTGAGGGCTGCAAGGGAGAAAGGAATGTAACCTGAGCCACAGCCGTGACATTCCCATGGAGCATTTTTCACATGAAAGGCTTTTGTCAACCCAGTAAAGGACCAGGAGTTTTTGTTTGATGTTTGCAGGTGTTCAGCAGAGAGCACTAAAACAATTCAGCCATGCTGGCTTAGAGACTCTGACCTTAACGGGGGGAATTGGTGAGGACTGAAATTATTTTTAAGAAAACTCCCCTGGAGTTACCTCAAATTTCTGCGGGATTTGCGGAGTGATTTAATACCTGTGACTTAAATCGAACAATGCACGTCCATTAGAATGAGGGGGGGTTTTTTGTTTTGTTGGGGCCGTTAGGACAGTTGCCAAAATCAAATGAATTTTCCCGGATGTTCAGAAATTTTCCGAATAGTTCGGCTTCCGCGCTAAGAGCGTTTGTCCTCATCCAAGTGTGAGCCAGTGGAAAACGAGGCGCGATTGCTGAATCAGATGCTCGCTGGTGCTGGGTTTGAGGATGGGTTTCGAAGCAGCTTTGCAGCACTTGTGATGCTGAAGGATTTGCCAGGTCGGTCACATCGGGCACGCTCAGGTGTCTGAACCGTTCAGCAAACCCCCCAGCTTCCTGATCAGGCTCGATTTCTGCGTCTTTTATTTTAAGTATTTGATTTTACCGAAGTTTTTCGGGCATCTGTGCGAGGTTGCCTGAGTAGCGTGTGGGTGGGGGTGGCAGTGGAACGCCCGAATTCCTCTTTTTGGCCTTTCCGACTGCCCCAGCAAATCTCTGCTCGCACAGAGACCGCTGAATCGAACCAAGTCAGCTTCAAGGATTTAAAGAAAAACTTGCTTTTAATTTTGGTTTGATTAAGGCTCGTCCTGCGCCAGAATGAGGGTGATCACAAATTAATACATCTTAAACGAGGGAATCGTGAATTCAGCTCGGTTGTGAAGTCCTTATTTACTTTCCACGTGCCTGTGAGCAAATTTTAACAAAACAGAGGTTATTTAGGTCCAGCTTGGTGTTCAGAGCGTGGCCTTTTGGGAAAGGAGCGTCATTTTGCTGTTCTCAGTTGATCAAGGAGAAAAAAATAAGTGAAATATGACCATTACCCGGAGATGTTTTAACACCCCTCGGACTGGGCGCCCCTCGGCACATACGCAGGGGTCCCACGGGTGTCCATAGGCACAGGAATTTTTAGCCCGTGGATCAGCCCCGTGGGTTTTAGTACCAAAGGACAAGAGGTGTGGGGACGTGGCTCTGGAATTGGGGTGGGTGCCGGGCTCGCCGCGGCCGCGCTTTGCCCTCTGGAAACGGCGCCAGGGCTTCGCGAGGGAGCCGCACAAAAGGCGACCAAGCGCTGCCATCTTCCTCAGCCCTCCCGTTTCGTAATTATGATTAAGGGGAAGAAGAATGCTCGTTACCTCCCGCCCTCCCAGCTCTGTTTACTCGCCAGGAGCCGATCCTGCTCTCCTCCTCGCGGCGCCTGGGGCAGGACGGGACCCAAAGGCTGGGTTAGAAAGGAGAGGGGATCCTCCTGCCCAGGGCGGTGAGCCGAGGGCATCCCGCTGAGGCCAGCCAGCAGCATCACCCCAGCTAAAGTCAGACGCCTCCGTGCTAAATCTGGAGGCGAGGCTCCTCTCTTGGCGATTAAAAACTGACCAAATAATTCCCCCCGATTTCTGATCCTGGGGAAAGTAGCCCTGGTTGGTGGCTGAGGGTCTGAATGAATGGGCTCCAAAAGGGGATGGCACAGGAGGGAATTGTATCCCAGGCAGTGCCCCTTGGATACTGTTGCTTCTTTAGAAACACTTTTTTTCTGCTAATCACTGGATGTCTACCTTGTCAAGGCTCCTGCCTGCATTTAATAATTCAGAAACACACACATTAGCTGTCTGGGAGGCTGAAACGCTCGGGGGCCAGATTCAGCCAAATGTCACTTGGAGGAGACGTTTGTGCCTGCCGCAGCCAAATTTAGCAGCGGCAGCGCTGCTGTTGGAGATGATTCAGTGGCTCCAAGTTCCCTGCGAACGAGGGCTCTGATAAACGGGTGAGCTCGGGGCTGGCTGGGAGGTAGGTAGGTGGAGGAAGCTTGTGTAACGCGCCCGGGAAGGGATGCAGAGAAAGGAGGCATTTGGGAACGGGAGCCACGGTTTGGCTTCTTCCCGTTGGGGTTTGCGCTCTCCCCGCTCCCAAATTCAGATCGATCCGTGTCGGGCGGCTTCTAGTGACTGAAATCCCACAAAACACTAAATATAAGCATAAATTATGGCCAGCCTGTGC